TGTCCTCCCAACCCTGCTCTATGCCTGAGAAACGTGGACTGTCTACAGATGTCACATGCAACTCCTGGAACGATTCCATCAGCGCTGCCTCCGGAAAATCCTGCAAATCTCTTGGGAAGACAAGCGGACAAACGTCAGCGTGCTGGAAGAAGCAAAGACCACCAGCATTGAAGCGATGGTCCTCCGCCACCAACTCTGCTGGACCGGCCATGTTGTCTCCCGACCACCGTCTCCCAAAGCAGTTGCTCTAGTCCGAACTCAAGAACGGAAAACGGAATGTTGTTGGACAGGAAAAGAGATTTAAAGATGGGCTCAAAGCCAACCTTAAAAACTCTGGCATAGACACTGAGAACTGGGAAGCCCTGGCCCTTGAGCGCTCCAGCTGGAGGTCAGCTGTGACCAGCAGTGCTGCAGAATTTGAGGAGGCACGAGTGGAGGGTGAAAAAGAGAAACGTGCCAAGAGGAAGGCGCGCCAAGCCAACCCCGGCCGAGACTGCTTTCCACCTGGAAACCAATGCCCTCACTGCGGAAGAAGATGCAGAGCAAGAATAGGGCTCCACAGCCACCTACGGACCCACAAGAATACTGGAAGACAATCATCCTCGGAAAGCGAGGGATCGCCTAAGAAGACACTGCCCATATAATGCAGTTTCAAACCACATTATATGGCAGTGGAGATGAGGCTGTATGATTTAGCCACCACAGTGCTTTGATGATGATGATGATGATGATGATGATGATGATGATGATGATGATGATTAGCTGTACTCACCACGCATTACTGTGGCCAACCTTCCCTTTCTCTTTCTCTCCTCCTTTCTTTCTCTCTTTCCTTCCTTCTCTTCCTCTTCCCTTCCTCCCCCCTTTACTTTCTCTTCCTCTTTCTCCTCTTTACTCCTTCTCTACCTATTCTTGGACTGCAACTCCCAGCAGTCCTCCTGATCAATCTATCTACCTACTATCTATCTCTATCTAATCTATCTATTGGGAGGATTGCTGGGAGTTTGCAGTCCAGGAATAAGGAATTGAAAATATGCAGGGATTGGGATGCTCTCAAAGAAATCCAAGGAGAAGAAAGCTTGCATTTTGGAAGCAGTGCATTTGGATCATCCTCCTCTGGTCTGGTCTAGGGGATGCTGGGAGCTGTAGTCCGGAAGAGAGGGTGGATATGCTTTTGTGTGTTTTGTTTGCCGGGGGAGTCATTTATGCATATGTGCTGTAGCATCTTTTTGCTTTTTTGACTTTTAAAGTCCCTTCCACCCTGTTTTCCAGTGTTTTTATGAGTGATGGTCACTCGTTGGCCTGAGAGGTGTATTGTGTCCAAATTTGGTGTCAATTCGTCCAATGGTTTTTGAGTTATGTTAATCCCACAAACAAACATTACATTTTTATTTATATAGATTACAAGCTGTCCCCTGCCACGTGTTGCTGTGGCCCAGTGTGGTGATCTGGAAAATAAAGTAACAAGAAAGTGTGGGTTTCTAATATATGTAATTTATTTATGCGTGTGGGTGAACAGTATTTCTTGCTGTTTCTTTGTCAGTGTTCTCATTTCTACTCTGGAACATGCAACATATCATTGTCCTTCTTTAGGGGTCCCTTTCAGATCTATGATACTATATCTCTCTGTGTGTGAATCATATCTATCTATATCTATGGCTGGATGGCTCTTTGTCAGGAGGGCTTTGATTACGGTTTCTGGCCCTGAGGAAGGGAGTTGGACCAGATGGCCTTAAGTATTTTCTGGTGGTCATGGAGGTCCTGTGTGGGAAGTTTGGCCCAATTCTGTCATTGGTGGAGTTCAGAATGCTCTTGGATTGTAGGTGAACTATAAATCCCGACAACTACAACTCCCAAATGTCAAGGTCTATTTTCCCCAAACTCCATCTGTGTTCATATTTGGGCATATGGAATATTCGTGCCATGTTTGGTCCAGATCTGTCCTTGTTTGAGTCCACAGTGCTCTATGGATGTAGGTGAACTACAACTCCCAAACTCAAGGTCAATGCCCACCAAACCCTTCCAGTATTTTCTGTTGGTCATGGGAGTCCTGTGTGCCAAGTTTGGTTCAATTCCATCGTTGGTGGAGTTCAGAATGCTCTTTGATTGTAGGTGAACTATAAATCCCAGCAACTACAACTCCCAAATGACAAAATCATTTTTTGAGTGATGGTCACTCCTTGGGTTAGTAGTGTCTTGTGTCCAAATTTGGTGGCAATTCATCCAGTGGTTTTTGAGTTATGTTCATCCCACAAACAAACATTACATTTTTATTTATGTAGACTAGCTGTACCCACCACACATTGCTGTGGCCAACCTTCCCTCTTTCTCTCCTTTCTTTCTCTTCTTCCTCCCTCTCTCCTTCTCTCTTTTTCTTTCCCTTTTTCTTTCCCCCTTTCTCTCCCTCCTTCTCTACCCTTCTTTCTTTCCTTCTTTATCTCCTTCCCTCCTTCTTTCTCTACCCTTCTTTCTTTCCTTCCTTCTCTCCTTCCCTCCTTCCTTCTCTACCCTTCTTTATCTCCTTCCCTCCTTCTTTCTCTACCCTTCTTTCCTTCTCTCCTTCCCTCTTTCTCTCCCTCCTTCCCTCCTTCCTTCCTTCTCTACCGTTTTTTCCCCTTCCTTCTCTCCTTCCCTCCTTCTTTCTCTACCCTTCTTTCCTTCTCTCCTTCCCGCTTTCTCTCCCTCCTTCTCTCCTTCCTTCCTTCTCTACCCTTGTCCAAATTTGGTGTCAATTCGTCCAGTGGTTTTTGAGTGATGTTAATCCCACAAACGAACATTATATTGTCGAAGGCTTTCATGGCCAGAATCACTGGGTTGTTGTAGGTTTTTCCAGGCTATATGGCCATGTTCTGGAGGCATTTTTTCTCCTGACGTTTCGCCTGCATCTATGGCAAGCATCCTCAGAGGTAGTGAGGTCTGTTGGAAGTAGAAAATGGTTTTATATATCTGTGGAATGTCCAGGGTGAGATAAAGGACTCTTGTCTGCTGGGGCTAGCTGTGAATGTTTCAGCTGATCACCTTGATTTGCATTCAATGGCTTGGAAGCGCCTGGGGGAATCCCTTGTTGAGAGTGATTTTATGTGCCTGTTTTTTTCCTCTCTGTTGTTTTGCTGTTGTAATTTTTGAGTTTTTTAATACTGGTAGCCAGATTTTGTTCATTTTCATGGTTTCTTCCTTTCTGTTGAAATTGTCCACATGCTTGTGGACTTCAGCGGCTTCTCTATGTAGTCTGACATGGTGGTTGTGAGAGTGGCCCAGCACTTCTGTGTTCTCAAATAATACGCTGTGTCCAGGCTGGTTCATCAGGTGCTCTGCTATGGCTGACTTCTCTGGTTGGAGTAGTCTGCAGTGCCTTTCATGTTCCTTGATGCGTGTCTGGGCAATGCTGCGTTTGGTGGTCCCTCTGTAGACTTGTCCACAGCTGCATGGTATACGGTAGACTCCTGCAGAGGTGAGAGGATCCCTCTTGTCCTTTGCTGAATGGAGCATTGGTTGGATTTTCTTGGTGGGTTTGTAGATTGTTTGTATGTTGTGTTTCCTCATCAGCTTCCCTCTGCGGTCAGTGGTTCCCTTGATGTCTGGCAGGAACACTTTTCCTCTGGGTGGGTCTTCATCTTGACTCTCGTGGCTTGTTCTCGGTCTTGCAGCTCTTCTGATGTCTGAGGTGGAGTCTCCATTGGCCTGGAGAGCCCGGTTTATATATCCACAGATATATAAACCCATTTTCCTACTTCCAACAGACCCCACTACCTCTGAGGATGCTTGCCATAGATGCAGGCGAAACGTCAGGAGAAAAATTGCCTCCAGAACATAGCCATATAGCCCGGAAAAACCTACAACAACCCACGAACATTATATTTTTATTTATATAGATTATTATTAGATTTATTTATATCCCACTTTATCTCTTGCGCAGAAGACTCAAAGTGGCTTAACATAAAAACATCAGCATGCAATTTCAAATATACAAATATTAAAACAGCATTAAACATCATTAGTATTCAAAACAATTCAGATCAAATCCATAAAGGATTAACATGTGGAGGAAATGCCGGAGCATTTGTTTGTTTTCCTTTTCCTTTCCAAGCAGTTCTTTCTTTGCCGGTCTCTCCACTCCCCCATTTTCTGGATAGATAACACTGTTCAACGGAGAAAAAGTTTCGGGCCTGAAAATAGCTGTTCTTTTATGATTTTGGGGTGCTGAAAACGAAAATGACATTTAAAAATGTATATTGGCTCTAGTTTTTATGATATAAGCAATCACGTGATCACGTATGGTTGAAAAAATGCATGTTGCGACTTACACTATGGAAGATTCTAGAATACTCTAGAAAGTTTGATGACGCAGTATTAGTGCCGTGTGCAAAAGCCAGAAAGCCCTCTATAAGGCCAGACTTTTAGTTAAACATCGTTTTACATTGTTCTTTTGACTGTAGTTCTGCCTCCTCGCACGTGTGTCAATAAAGCCCTATGGAAAAAAGATCTCAAGGCCAATGGACTCCGTCAATGCTGTCAGACTCCTGCTGGAGCATTGCAAGAGGGAATCCTTTCCTTGAATACAAAAGAAAAGTCAAGAGAAGCAAACAGGATATAAACTAAAGTCACGATTAAAGCGACATTTAAACTTTCAGACTTTTCAACTGCATTAGGCCTACTAATAGAGTTTCTTGCTGCACAAACATAAACAATAGACTAATTAAATAAATATTTCTCATGTATAAACTATTGGCAATATAATTTGACTAAAATTTAGTAAATATTCACGGTTTATATACATGCAGTAAGGTTAGGCGCATTATCATAATATTAACGAATTACCTATTGTGGAGAAAATTGAAATAGCTGTTGCATAAAAACCAGAGCCAATTAACACATTTAATTATTATATTTGAATTCAGCATGTTAAATTTATTAAGAAACGGCACATTTCGTTTCCGCAACTGAGAAAAACTGAAAATTTGTAGAACAGTGTAACCTGTGTGCCTTTTCTGTCCTTACAGAAACTCTCCTTGGATTCGATCTGCTGAAATCTCCCCGACTCCGAAGATCCCTTGTCCTTTGCAGTACTATTTGGAGGAAGGGAGAGCTGAGCTGCTAAACGAATCCCGAGGAGACCTTCCCGCCCCGCTCTGCTCCGTGGCCCAGGGATGAGTGCGGGCCGAGTCAACCCGTACAGCATAGTATCCTCCGAGGAAGACGGGTTGACTTTGACCACCATGCCTGGGGTGAATGGCTTTGGCAACGGGAAGATCCACACGCGGAGGAAATGCCGGAACCGCTTCGTTAAGAAGAATGGCCAGTGCAATGTGGAGTTCACCAACATGGACGACAAACCCCAGCGGTACATCGCGGACATGTTCACCACTTGCGTGGACATCCGCTGGAGATACATGCTGTTGCTCTTCTCGCTTGCCTTCCTGGTGTCTTGGTTGTTGTTTGGCCTCATATTCTGGCTCATCGCTGTGGTCCACGGCGACATCGAGAAGCCGACCAAGGACGAAACGTTCACGCCTTGCCTCCTTCAGGTGAACGGTTTCGTGGCTGCTTTCTTGTTCTCCATCGAGACGCAGACGACCATCGGCTATGGCTTCCGATGCGTAACGGAGGAGTGCCCGCTCGCCGTCTTCATGGTGGTCCTCCAGTCCATCGTGGGGTGCATCATCGACTCTTTCATGATTGGGGCCATCATGGCCAAAATGGCTAGGCCCAAGAAGCGGGCCGAAACCTTGCTTTTCAGCCACCACGCCGTCATCGCCATGCGGGACGGGAAGCTCTGCCTGATGTGGCGGGTGGGCAACCTCCGCAAGAGCCACATCGTGGAAGCCCACGTCCGGGCACAGCTCATCAAGTCCCGCATCACCGAAGAGGGGGAGTATATCCCGCTCGACCAAATCGACATCGACGTCGGGTTCGACAAAGGCTTGGACCGCATTTTCCTGGTGTCTCCGCTCACCATCCTCCACGAGATCGGCGAGGAGAGCCCGCTCTTCGGGATCAGCCGACAGGACCTGGAGACGGACGATTTCGAGATCGTGGTCATCCTGGAAGGCATGGTGGAAGCCACTGCCATGACCACGCAAGCGCGGAGCTCGTACTTGTCCAGCGAGATCCTCTGGGGCCACCGCTTCGAGCCCGTCTTGTTTGAGGAGAAAAACCAATACAAAGTGGACTACTCCCACTTCCACAAGACCTACGAGGTCCCGTCGACTCCCTGTTGCAGTGCCAAGGACTTGTTGGAAAACAAGTTCCTCCTCCCGGGCACCAATTCTTTCTGTTACGAGAACGAGCTCGCCTTCATAAGCCGCGACGAGGAGGACGAGGAGGAGGAAGAAGAGGAAGACGACGATAGCAGAGCTTTGGACGATCCGGGTTCGGACAACCAGCCTGAATTCGATCGGCTTCAGGCCACCGTTGCTCTGGACCAGCGGTCCTACAGAAGAGAGTCTGAAATATGACCCCGGACCCTCTAACTGTTGCCGAGGGCGTCTTTTCCCTCTGGTTTCTTCCCTGCACTAAAACAAAACAAAAAAAAAACCCAATCCAAATTATGCAGAACAATGCAAGTGCCATAGGAATGCCTGAGAATTCGTGTGGTTTGTAGGGTGTGTATTGGTTATCCTTTGTTAAAGAAATGTCATCGCAATAACTATTGAATGGCGTGGGTTCAGAGAGGACCCATTTGCCAGCCTCGACGGGCACATCTACACTGTAGAATTAATTCAGTTTGACCCCACTTTCACTGCTGTGGCTTAGGAGTATGGAATCATGGGTGTTTTTACTAGGTTCTTGTGGGGTTTTTTGGGCTATATGGCCATGTTCTAGAGGCATTTCTCCTGACGTTTCGCCTGCATCTATGGCAAGCACCTCTGAGGATGCTTGCCATAGATGCAGGCGAAACGTCAGGAGAAATGCCTCTAGAACATGGCCATATAGCCCAAAAAAACCCCACAAGAACCTAGTGATTCCAGCCATGAAAGCCTTCGACAATACATGGGTGTTTTTAGTTTAGCACTCTTTGGAAAAGAAGGCCAAAGCCTACAATTCCCACGATCCCATGAGCCATGGGAATGCAAGGGGTGCCAAACTGGATTCATTCCCCAATGTAGATGTTCCCATAATGTGGTAAACATCTAAATAGCAGTGTTTATAGTAGGTATGGACAAACTTGGGCCCTCCAGGTGTTTTGGACTTCAACTCCCACAATTCCTAACAGTCTCAGGCCCTTTCCTTTCCCCCCTTCAGTATGTGGACGACATACGAATAGCATAGACATAGGCCAACATGGGCCCTCCCTGTGGGTTATGGGCCCAGCACATTTAAGTGGCTGAGAGGGAAAAGGAAGGGGTCTGAGGCTGTTAGGAATTGTGGGAGTTGGAGTCCAAAACACCTGGAGGGAGGGCCCAAGTTTGCCCATGCCTGGTTTATAGGATGAAGGCAGGTTCCAAAAAGCGGCACTATGAGTGAGATGCAAACAAAACCCTGCCTTGAATTTGCCACTCCGAGTAGGAATCGACTTGTATGTCGAGCGAGAAAGAAAATTCCTTCTCCCCTCTCTTTATTCACAACGAGGGTCTTTTTAAAAAACACTGAGAAAGAGAAGACACAGGGCACTGCAAAGGCTCAAAGGGAATATTGTATTTGGAAAGCAAAACCATGTGTGTATGCGTGAATTTTTTTTTTAAAAAAGAAAGAACTGAACAAATTATAATATATATTAAAAATATATAAATAGACTTATACTGCCAAGACAGGTGATTCTGTTGCACTAGGTCAACACTTGAAGTCCTACAGTACATTTTTATGTTTTCCAATGGAGGGAAAAGGAAAGGGTGTGTGTTTTTTTAAAAAAACAAAATAATTACTTATAGATAGGCGTGCGCACGAAATTTATTTCTACCGTTTCTTTTGTGTCTTCCGTTTATTCCGAAGCACGAAACGGGAAGCCCCCTCCCTACATGAAAATCTGCTCAACACGGAAACCTGTTTTCGTGTGTATCCGATTTTCCTACTTGCCTTGGAAAGACAGTGCATGTGTGGCAGGGCATGCAGGTAAGCATGCAGAACTTGGCTGCAGGCACGCTTCAGGCCTGCCTACACACTCTGCCACACACGCACTCTCTGAGAGTATAGTGAGGCATGTGTGGCAGGGCATGAAGGCAGGCCTGGACATTGTACATGCCTACCAGTGCCTGCAACTGAGTACTTCTTCCTCTAGAGTAAGAGTTGCCCTTCGGACCTGCCTGCACACCCGGCCACACACACACACTCGGAAAATGTGGTGGGGTGTGTGAGGCAGGGCATAAAGGCAGGCCTGGAAAGCTCACATGCCTACCAGTGCCTGCAGCTGAGTACTTCTTCCTCTAGTGTAAGAGGCACCCAGTTGTAGGTGCCCTTTGGGCCGGCCTGCACACCCTGCTACACACACACTCTCGGAAAATGTGGTGGGGTGTGTGAGGCAGGGCATAAAGGCAGGCGTGGAAAGTGTGCATGACTTCCAGTGCCTGCAGCCAAGTGCTTCTTTCTCTAGAGTAAGAGGTACTCAGCTGCAGGTGTGTTCTGGACCTGCCTGCACACCCTGCCACACACACTCACACTCGGGAAATGTGGTGGGGTGTGTGAGGCAGGGCATGCAGGCAGGCCTGTAAAGTGCATGTGCCTGCCAGTCAGGGGCGGCTCGTCCATTACGCAAAGTAAGTGGTTGCGGTACACTTTTTTTTGCCAGGGGCGCAGAGGCGCCTCTGTAAATGCCCCTACCGCCACTTGAGGAGCGCCCTCTCAGCTCACAACAGCCCTAGCGGTCCGGGGGGAGCCTCGGCTTCCTTGCCTCACTGCCGGACAATCCTCTTCCCAAAGGGGCCGGGCCCTTGAGCCTCACCTAGCCCCTCTCGTTCCTGCTCCATATCAATGATTGGTTGGGGGGGGGCACCAAAATGCCTGTTTGCTTACCGTTGAAAATTACCTAGGGCCACCTCTGCTGCCAGTGCCTGCAGCCGAGTGCCTCTTTCTCTAGAGTAAGAGGCACTCAGCTGCAGGTGTGCTCTGGGCCTGCCTGCACACCCTGCCAAACACACAATCTCAGAAACTGCGGTGGGGTGTGTATGGCAGGGCATGCAGGCAGGCCCAGAAAGTGCATATGATTGCCAGTGCATGCAGCCAAGTGCCTTTTTCTCTAGAGTAAGAGGCACTCAGCTGCAGGTGTGCTCTGGGCCTGCTTGCACACCCTGGCAAACACACACTCTCAGAAACTGTGGTGGGGTTTGTGAGGCAGGGCATGCAGGCAAGCCTGGAAAGTGTGCATGCCTTCCAGTGCCTGCAGCCGAGTGCCTCTTTCTCTAGAGTAAGAGGCACTTAGCTGCAGGTGCGCTCCAGGCCTGCCTACACACCCTGCCACACACACTCACACTCGGGAAATGTGGTGGAATGTGTGAGGCAGGGCATGCAGGCAGGCCGGAAAGTGTGTATGCCTGCCAGTGCCTGCAACCAATTGCCTCTTTCTCTAGAGTAAGAGGCACTCAGCTGCAGGTGTGTTCTGGTCCTTCCTGCACACCTTGCCACACACACACACTCGGAGAGCGTGGTGGGGCATGTGTGGCAGGGCATGCAGGCAAGCCCGGAGAATGCTTGCAGCTGAGTGCCTCTTATTCTAGAGAAAGAGGCACTCATCCGCAGGCACTGGCAGGCTCTCATTCATTCCTTTCATTCAGTTCATACAAACCCACTCATATTAAATCCACATCACATTATTTTTCTTCACATGTCTACACTGTAGAATTAATGCAGATTGCCACCACTTAAGCTGCCATGGTTCATTGCTAGGCAAGCCTGAGAGTCAGAGTGTTTCAAGGTTTTCACGAGGAGAGATGGGTAAGCAATAAAATTATGATTATGATTATGATTATGATTATGATTATTATTATTATTATTATTATTATTTTCACCTTCTCGTCCAAAACGTGTTGGAGCCTCACCCAACGACAGCTCCTGTATTCCATAGCATGAAGCCATGTCAGTTGAAATGGTGCCAAACTGCATTCATTTGAGTATACAGTGTTCCCTCACTTATCGCGGGTGTTACGTTCCAGGACCACCCACGATAAGTGAAAATCCGCAAAGTAGGAAAGCTATATTTATTTTAATATTATTTTAATATTTATACATTATTTTAGTAGTTATACACTTTCAAAAGTCTTTATAAACTTAAAATAAACCCTTTTTCTGTTTGACTGAGTACTCTTCCGAGTACTACTCCTCAGAGTACTACTACTACTACTACTACTACTACTGCTCCCCCTCCAGCTCCTCCCACCTTCTTCCCTGTTGTTGTGGTGGCTTCGAAGGAAAGTGTCATGTCTCATGTTGTGCAGTTGTTGGTGGTTGGTGGTGGTAGGACTAGCAGTTGGTGATGGAAGGGTTAATGTAAGTCTTAGTTCTAAAGGGTTGAGTAATCTGTAAGTAAGAGTTCATGGGTGAAAGCAATTAAGGGTGGAGGTATGCAAGATATAGGCTGCAGCTGGGTGTTTCTCGATATAATGAGCTAGCCATGGGATTAATCTTTGAGAGAAAAATATTTTGTCAGGATGCCAGGGCTCTGCCGTATTCAAGCAGAGATGAACCAAACAAACACCCAATTTGTATCAAACAGTTTAATTAAAGCAGCACTTACTTTCTGGCTGTTTTAATAGTCCAAAATATAAAACATAAAGATTGCACTCAGCCACATAATATAAAACAAACACTGACAGCAAACACTGTTGCAGGTTCAAGATAACACCATAGTCAAAAGGTCCAGTCCAGTGGTCAAACTCCGAGAGTTCAATGAGCAAAGTCCAGGGATCAAGAGTCTTTACTGTAGTCAAAAGCCAGTCCAAAAATCCAAGGTTCCAGGGTTCCAAAGGTTCAGGAGACAGATCAGGACACCAAAAATCCACAAAGCTGGGGGGAAACCAGCAGCATCTACCACCAAAATAAGACAATTACTCAATCCTTTAGAACTAAGACTTACATCATCAACTGCTAGGCCTACCACCATCAACCACCCTCAACTCGGGACATGATACATGACAGAAGGAAGTAAAGGAAGCAAGCCCTCTTCGCCTTTCCCTTTGCCAGGTGAAGAGCGAGAGAGCGAAGGAAAAGAAGGAAAGGCCCTTCAAGCCTGGAGGGAGGGAGGACTCAGGAGGGAAAGCGCCTCGAAGAGCAAAAACCCGCGAAACAGCGAAAATACCGCAATATATTTTGAAAATTTATATTTATTGAAAAACCGCAAAACAGCAAATCCTCTAAAAGCGAACCACAAAGCAGCGAGGGAACACTGTGCAGTGTCCCCTCTCTTATTGTGGTTATGTTCCAGGACCTCCCGCAATAAGTGAAAAACCGCGATGTAGGGACGCTATTTTTAATATTTATACATTATTTTAGTAGTTATACTCTATTTTAAGTCTTTATAAACTTAAAATAAAGTGAAGGAAAGGCCCTTCAAGGCTGAAGGGAGGGAGGACTGAGGAGGGAAAGCGCCTCGGAGAGCGGTGGCAGCCAAAACCCGCGAAACAGCGAAAATACAACGATATATTTTAAAAATGAATATTTATTGAAAAACCACGAAACAGCGAGTCTACTAAAAGCGAACCACGAAGTAGCGAGGGAACACTATACAGTGTTCCCTCGCTACTTCATGGTTTGTTTTTAGCGGACTCGCTGTTTCGCGGTTTTTCAATATATACTAATTTTAAAAATATATCGCGTACAGTGTAAGATTAATATTTATTGAAAAACCGCAGTGTTCCCTTGCTACTTCATGGTTTGCTTTTAGCAGACTCACTGTTTCGCGGTTTTTCAATAAATATTATTCTTTTTAAAATATTGCATACGGTGTAAAATTAATATTTATTGAAAAACCGCAAAACAGCGAGTCCGCTAAAAGCGAACCATGAAGTAGCGAGAGAACACAATACAGTGTTCCCTCACTACTTTGTGGTTTGTTTTTAGTGGACTCGCTTTTTTTCAGTAAATATTAATTTTAAAAATATATTGTGTACAGTGTAAAATTAATATTTATTGAAAAACCGCAAAACAGCGAGTCCGCTAAAAGTGAACCACGAAGTAGTGAGAGAACACTGTACAGAGTTCCCTCACTACTTCATGGTTTGTTTTTAGCGGACTCGCTGTTTCGTTGTTTTTCAATCATTAAAAATATATTGTGTACAGTGCAAAATTAATATTTATTGAAAAACCGCGAAACACCGAGTTCGCTAAAAGCGAACCAAGAAGTAGCGAGGGAACACCGTACAGTGTTCCCTCGCTACTTCGTGGTTCGCTTTTAGCGGACTCGCTGTTTCGCAGTTTTTCAATAAATATTCATTTTTCAAATACATTGCGTACAGTGTAAAATGAATATTTATTGAAAAACTGTGAAACAGCAAGTCCGCTAAAAGTGAACCACGAAGTAGCGAGGGAACACTGTACAGAGTTCCCTCACTACTTCATTGTTTGCTTTTAGTGGACTTGCTGTTTCGCAGTTTTTCAATATATACTCATTTTAAAAATATACCGTGTACAGTGTAAAATGAATATTTATTGAAAAACCGCAAAACAGCGAGTGTGCTAAAAGTGAACCACAAAGTAGTGAGGGAACATTTTACAAAGTTCCCTCGCTACTTCGTGGTTTGTTTTTAGCAGAC